CGACTCTTCCGCGAATCGACTTTTCAACGAAACGACTCTTCCGTTAATTGAAATGTGGTGGCAGTAAGCTGCGTGAGAGTGACTGTGAAAGGAATTTCATTCGCGGAAACGTCGTTCGCAGAAGCGTTGGTGTACCGCTCCAAGAACTCATAAATACATATACATAAAACGTAAATAACGCTACAGACTACAGCCACTGATCAGAATATTTAAGTATGCTACTGACACTCGAATTTTCAATATTCAACATCATATTAGTTAGTTCTCTGCTTTTCTATGAACCTTATGCCAAAGGGCTTGTATTTCTTTACAATTACAACCGTTTAACTGTATGTTGTTTAGCCTTGAATTAGCCAGTCTCAAGTAAAATTTATATACAGTAAATAAAAAGCATTTTCTTTGAAGCACTTTATTGACTAACGACTTCACTATTTTTAATGCTTACACCAAAACAAATGAACAAACATAATACATTTTTTTGGTTTTTCTCTTCAAACATATTTGAATTCTTTCAGACTTATTTCCGATAGAATGATTAAACAATATTCACAGCGTTTAGTGCCACAACAACACTTAGGGTACTCTACCCAAACGATGAAAATATATACATTTTTATATTTACAAGTATCCGTCAGTTAATATTATCTTACAAGGTTGTCCTAGTCGTCGTCTGATAAAGTCGAAAGCACTGAATAAGATAAATTTGATGAATTCTGGATACTTTGAGGCAATAAAATAACAATAGTTTAGTGGGCCGATTTCAAATCTTATGCGGCCTACTTCTTTTTACTTGGATGACTAGTTTGAGTCATGTCTCCTAATATAGAAAATGCCACATTTTTCAGCTTTCAAAAACCACTATTCCAGAGACATGCTAGTCTTAGCTATTTCAAGTCAAAATCAAATCAAGTCATCAGAAATTTTTTTCAAGCCAAGTCAGGTAATTTTTCAAACTGGCATCAAGTCAAGTCATGGGGCACATTTTTGGAGGCTAGCTCATGTCAAATCAAGTCAAAAATGACTTGACTTTCCCATCACTGCACTATTCTCATTCTACTTTCTTCGGTTACGGTCTAACTCAGCCATTTCGCTTTTGGTTAAACAGATTTATTTTGGTGAAAAGCAAAAAAAGAGACAAGCCAAGAGGAAAAAATCGTTTCAAAACTTTTGTGTCCCACTTAGATCTAACACTTGTTTTTTCTCAGATGTTCAAAAACGTATGAAGTACTAAGTCCTGCACAATATATTTTACCATCGCTTTTGATTGATGCATACTTCTAACGAGTGAATGTCCATAAAATTCATTTTCTTTGACAAGACTGTTCACTTGCATTCCAGCTGAAAATGGTTCATCAGTTAGACGAAAGATATCTTTCATCAGATAATAGTACAATCGAAATGGATAAAATATTGCGTGTATTTCATTGTATGTATTATAGTGTTTCACATAACATGAAGTTACAATGCCATTGACCAATAATGTGCCTGTGTATGTCATGGGAGTGATAAAACCAGTTTTGTAAAGGACTTCAATTGATGTGATAGGTACAGGACTCAGATTCTGAGCTGGTTTCCGCCATCAAGAGATAATGATTTGAATTGAGATAGATATGAATTTTTTCTGTCCATTCTTCATGTTTTCAAATTTTTCTCACGACGACTCTTGGCAGTCCGCTCTCATACTCCGAACAGGATATATATCCCAATGAGGATATATATCCAATTCGGGATATAAAAATATATCCTGATCGGGCTATGATATTCTGATCAAGATATATATATCCCGTTTGCGCTAGAATATATATCCTCTCCGGGATATATTTTTATATCCCGAATGAGGTATGGTATACTGAAGGCATATTTAGATACGGTCAGTCCGGTCTTAAATCCCGATCAGGCTGTTTTGTATATCCCCACTCTAATTTAAAAAAATCGTGAACGGTAGATCCTTAAACCAGGACTAGAGCACGTTTGATTCCGACTCAGTTTTTCATCCACTTTCTTATGCTATAGTCGCTTTTCTACAATAACGTCACTATTTTTGCGGTAATGATTTTTTCCAAAATGTTTTCGAGAAATATTCCGATCACGATATAAATTTTCTGTAATATCCCGTTCGGGTTATACGGTATATTCTGAACGAGATATCGCTAGTGAGATCGGGCTGCTGCGGCATATAGTATCTTACAACAATGTATCCTAGCTTGATAAGACAGTTACTCTATCGATCACTGGTAATCTGATAAGTTACATCCTCATGCTACGAAGTTTCCTATCACTAGCCTTTCTCAACTTACTTGCATGGAGTGTCCGAATGGATACAACGATCACCACAGCATTTATTTGCACAACAGCCTTCTCCACAACAGTTTGTACCTGATGGACAACAGCGCCCAGCGCCGCAACAAACATCACAACAACTGTTTCCGCAACACACTTTTTGTTTGTTACAACAGTGAACTTTATATTCCGATCCCACAAGCGCAGCAGAACGACATTTCGTTGCTTCTTCATCACTACACAGGTGACTGGAACAAGCTTCTTTGCTATTTGTCGTTGGCAGGATATAAAACAGAATTGATACAATGGCACTTGTATGCTAGAGCATTTTTCTAAAAAAGTGTTGATGATTTTTCAATCAATAGAAATATTTTGTTGGGAGAAACTAGAGAATAACACTGAAGTTGAAAAAATGTTTATATGTATTGGAAAACGGAATGAAAGTGAAAATTAAAAATAAATAAACTCAAATTTTCTTTTTTCTTTCTTTCGAGATTATTACTAATTGTAAAGAAATATAAGCCCTTTGGCATGAGATTCATTGAAAAGCAGAGAACTAACTAATATGTTGTTGAATATTGAAAATAATATTTGCCTAAAAAACGAAAAGAAATACTTGAAACATAATTCTGCTTGAGTTGATCGAAATTATGCATGTGATTCTAACTTTTTTTCTGTAATGTGAATATTCAAAATAATTTAATAGTTCAGTCAGTTCTTCTAAAAGAATATCGATGACAGAGTATCACCAAGCAATCTGACTGCTTGACCAGTTGAATGAGGAAAGTAGAAATCAGAGGGTCAATTATGCTTTCCAGATTGGAATGAAACATAGGTCGTCTAAAAGGATTTGTTTTGTGATGCCGTTTTGTTCTTAATAGTTCTTATTTAATCAATTTCATATTCTAAAACAAGCATCAAGCTATGACTAAATTAAGAGTGAAAGAGCACTTATGATACTTTATAATGTAAGGCTTAATCTAGGGGCGAGGTCAGATATGGGCAAATCAGGATTTTTCTAGTCGAAGTCAAGTCATTGTTTTTCGAGAACAAGACATGCCGTTTGGAAAAACGTCAATTCAAGTCACTTGTTAGCTTTTATTATCCCCGAGCTAAGCCAACTCACGTCATTTTCAAGTTAAGCGAGAAAATCTTTTGAAAAATCTTAAGGCTTCTTCATCAGCTCTTTGGAGTTTCGAACACTTGAATTAAGGTTAATATTTTTTGAAGTCTGATCATACTCGTTAATAAAGCGATAAATCGAGTGTGTACTTTAGAAAAAGAATCCGAATTAAAAAAATGTATAGTCTCTTTCAAGAAAAATATACAGTGAGAAGAGGGAGTTAGTTCCTTTATCATTCCTCAACCGAATGTCCTGTGAACTCAGTTTCTAAAACATTTGTCCGAGTGCAGCGAAATTACGTATAACAAGAATTATGCGCCTAGCCCAGATTGGGGTAGTCAAGTCATTTTCAAGTCGAATCAGACCGTTGAAAAAGTGACTCTGACTTGACTTGTTCAACCTTCAAAAATCATTCAAAAATCATGCTGTATTCGTGCTCAGCGAGTTACACGAGTTAAATAAAATAGCTACCTATGCATGCTTGATAAACTATTAAAAAATTACTTTGGCTTAAAAAAGTAACCGCTGCGGTGTATTTTTCTTTTTAAAAACAAAAAAAAGTAAATGAGACATATGTGACTATGTATTATATAAAAATGCAATGATGAAACAGAAGGCCTTTAAAAAAGTAAATCATTGATCCTTAAGAAATTTAATGATCAAAGCGTCTCACTCAACATGCACAATCAGAATGAAACTAAGTGAGACAGTGTAGAAGCTATTACTTTCATTTCTTTTTTAGAATAAGATGATGAACTCTTACTTCTCTCTGCTGTTTCTGCTGACGCACATTGAGCCTGTACTAACTAAAGATCTTCCAGGGTTGGATTTTCTGGCCACAGGATTTGACGCGCTGAAAATGATTAATCTGAACGAACCTTCGGCATCTGATAATCTCAAGTTTCGTCTTTTTAACTTGGATGATGGTCTTGGTAAAATATATTCGTTCGATGCTGACGGCGTAGAACATAACTACACAACATCTCGTTATGTACAAGTCACAACAATCAACATGAAGACAAAAGTTGCTGTTGAAACAATTAGCAAAACGTATCAAGAATTTCGACAGAGGTAAGAATTCCATTTACTTTCTTTCTTTTCTAAATCTTGCTATTCTAAACATTTAATTGATAGTTACTTTCAATCATACTCCTTTGATGTTGCTATCCCTATACCGTTAGGCGCAGCTAAAATTGACATTTCTTTTGGATATCATCGTACTTTGTCACGCGCCTATGAAAAAATTACCAAAGAAATATCATCAGACTGGTGGGGAATTTACAATGTTCATCTGGGTCCAACATATTTACTAAAGTAAGTTTTTCGAAACTGATTGGGAAAAGGGTGCAACCTCTTTGCTTAGCTTTTATTTCTAAAACCTCTGTTTGCTGTGTATGTACACTAATATCGACCGATATATGATTCGACCAGCTCTCTGCTTTTTTCGGATTCGCTTACATTTGTTACATGTTTGTTCCTATAATAGGTTTGATCCACTGTTCACAGCAGCTCTCGACAAACTCGTCTCTGAGCCTACGACATCGAAAGATCAGGCCTACTACAACCGTCTCATCGAAACATTTGGCACTCACTATGTCTCAGCAGTCATCGTTGGTGGACTTGGGAATCTCTATATATACATCACTAGCAGCTATGCAAGAGAATATAGTCGTTCAGCTGTTGAAGAGGGAATCAAAGTTGGCTTTGGTGTTGCTATGGACAACGGTTTGGTAGGAGCCGGAGTAAACGGTGTTTACAACTGGGGTAAAGAGAAATCAAGTCTTACTGAAGAATTCAAACAAAATTCTGAAATGCAAACAAAATTTATTCCTGCTGTGGTCATCTCACCTCAGAATGAAAGACGGCAGTGGGACGTTTGGAAGGAGCAAGTATTATCTAATCCAGCAGTTGTCAACCGCACACTTTGTCCTCTCGTCGATCTTCTCATCGACTACCCAGATGAAGTTCAAAAGCACTTGCAGGCAACCATTGATTACTACCTTCTCAACGGAGTCCTCCCAACATTAGATCAGGTATTAAGCAGCAAGTTCAGACGAAAGAAACGTGCCTTCGTCAATTTTGATCAAGCCAAACCAGTTCCAGGTCTCGATGTTGTGGGCTGTGGATTTGATATTGGTGGTATTGAGAGTCGACAATGCCTCTTTGACCTATCGACAGGCACGAACACTACCTTGTGGGTCGACGTCTATAACAATGATAAAACCTACACGGTTCCACCTAATTTCTTCGTCTCAGATAAACGTGATGTCAATGCAATGTATGAAAGCAGACTCTTCAAGACACTTGACGAATTCTTTCAAATGTCTATCTACAGTATACAAGAAGATGATGACGGCTTCTTTGGGTTCGGAGCAACATCAAAACGTATAGATGTTATTGAGAAATACCGTCAATTCTATGACTATAAGTATCAAATGGCCTGGACACGAAGACAAATCTCAATGTACACACTTGCCTTAACCACGTTTCCAACTCCACAATTCAATGACATGACCCAACTAGCTATCGATGAACTGCCTGACACATTTGATAACGGCTCCATTTCAAATATCAAAAAATGGAAAGCATTCTTCCATGCCTACGGAACACATTTTGTTGCCAGCTCGGACATGGGTGGGTTATTGTGGGCGGAAGATTATTTTGAAGGATGTTTAATTACAAAGTATAGTGAAAGATGGGTTAGGGAGCAAGTGAGAAGAAGTTATTGGTTTTTTGGTGATGAAACTTATTCAGAACATTATACAATGAATGTTGATCAAATCTATAAAAAATATAGTTCATCTATGTCAAAACTGATTGGTGGCATTGATAATAATCCAGGTGAAGCCTCCTCAGTTGAACCCTATATTATTAATGCTTGGATTTCAACACTTAAAAACTATCCACAACCCATCAACTATCGTCTTCTACCGATTTACACACTACTTCCAAAAGGTGATAAAAAAGAAACAATGAAAAATGCAACATATTACTTTCGTTCACAAGCAGCTGCAGATGAAAATCTCTATATTCAACGTCTACAAACACATCCAAATCCGCTACCTCTGCCGAAATTAGATTGTTCTCCAACTGCACGACGGAGGAAACGTGCTGTCACTAGCTCTGCATTCGATTTGACAGCAGCACGAAAAAGTCTCTGTCCAGTAGTTGGGTTTCGAGGAACGTTCTGTCCAGGTGATCCAGCCTGGAATATCAGTTCCACCAACTCGTCAGACGCCCCTAAAGCTTTATCACTCTTGCCACAGCGAGATTTGCCAAAAGGTGTTGGTATGGCTATCGACTTCAGCACTGGGAATGTTCTTTTGCCAGCTTTGCGACTCACTTATCCTCTCTCTCCTTCATCTGATTTTCTATGGAAAGATCCGCATTCTGGTCGTGTCTTTATCTTGCCGAACGAAGTTAATCTTACACGGTTGAATGACGATTTACTTGATGTCAATGTTAGTTCGTATTCCACCCCAACTGAATTCACAGATGCATGGTTACGTCTAGGAGCTGATGGTGACTGGTCTACAAGTCTTCTCTCCAATCTTCAAGACATTTCGGATATTGATTCGACGTATTTTTTAGATGATCAAGGAACTGCTATTGCTCAGAACTATAGTAAACTGTATAATCTACGTGTTAAAGCGATTGATGATCCTGCTTCCCTACCTTTGAACTCATATGCTCATACTGCAATAAATGCACTAACTGCCACCTATGATGAGGATCT